TTCAGTTAGGGGAGCCCGAAGTAATTGCAGATTAGGTTGTGAAGCAGGTTGACGAAACCCACTAGCACGACCACTGACAAATCAAGGATCATAATGTACGATTGGAATCTATCTTCATTTGATCATGGCATACGTTTCGTGAATTTGACGGTGTGTGTGTCTGCGCGCGTACATGTGTGTGTGTGTTTGTGTGTGTGTGTGTGTGTGTGTGTGCGTGCGTGCGTGCGTGCGTGCGTGCGTGCGTGCGTGCGTGCGTGCGTGCGCGCGCGCGTGCGTGCGCGCGCACGTGTGAGTGTACTTTGTGTGTTTGTTGAGAACACAAACACCCAGCCTTTACATTATTATTATTGTTATTATTATTGTTTCTGGTTTTATGCCGCTTTAGCAATACATCGTGCCTATACATTACCGAGTCTTGACCAAACAATCAGTGATTGACATTGTAAACATCGATTTACGCTGTCGGTTGCTAGGGGCCAAGTCGAACACATTATCTCGAGGGATTTCTAATTATTATTGAGTTATATATATATAGCATTTTCCGTCTACGAATTTCCCTTTTAAAATGGGCATTTACATGTTCAGATATACAGCATTACGCTTTAGTGATCGGATTGTATCAAACATTTTGAGGTGTTATTGTGGAGAAGCAGGTTATGAACACCGGCGGGTACACGACTACTGGGTATTACGGCTGATTAGAATCTTTGATGAGTTGATGGTGCGCAGATGGTGACTTGATCACGGTTGATTGATGGTTGGCGTTTTTTGATGTGGATTGCTCTTTTGAATTCCTAATCTTGAAGTCTTTGAGGCTGGTTGTAAGGGTTTTGATGTTGTCCCACTGTATGCTTTGTTTGTTTGTTTGTTGTTTGTTGTTTAACGCCGTACTCAGCAATATTCCAGCTATATGAGGCGGTATATAAATAATCGTGTCTGGACCAGACAACCTAGTGATCGACACCGTGAGCATCTATCAACGCAATTCGGATACGATGACATGCATCAACTAAATCAACGAGCCTGACCACCCGATCCCGTTAGTCGCCTCTTACGACATCAATAGTCGCCTTTTACGGCAAGCATGGTTTTGTTGAAGACCTATTCTACCCCGGACCTTCACGGGGCCCACTGAATGCTGTGGCTGGGGTTGTCACAGATATGGTAAAATGAAGCTGATTTAGAGTCAACTTTGGACACGACGCTCTGATGTTCTTAATGTTCATATTGAGGTAACTCAGAGTCAAGTAGTGCGTGAATGATTGAACTCTGTAAATGCAGCCTTTAAATAATCGAGTCTGGGCCATTTTCCCCAGTGGCTAAACATACATGATAAGCGTTTAATACCCTCGGGTCCTGGGTCCTGGGTCCTGGGTCCTGGGTCCCGCTGACACACATTTCGCCAGGTCACTTATTGACTCAGCTGATGCATTGTGCATTTGTGATCTACTCTACTGAGGAATCAACATTTTTGCCCGTGTTGAAATATATAGGTGTCATCTACTAAGTATAAAGTAAATACATATTTACGTTGATAGAAAGACAGGTCTAATCTGCAGGTGCTCTATATGACTTGCAGTTTCAAGAAGTAAAGGACAGGCGAAAGTGCTATGTCAGGATATCCGGGTTAAAAGCTGGATCAAGGGTTTCAAGGTTTAAGATGACGTGACAATATTTTGAATAGCTCCTTCGGTGGTACTTTCAAATGAACCACAATTTTTACCAGTTCTGCGGTCTGATGGTTAGAGTGCCTAACCACTGATCAGGAGGTTGTTGGTCTATTTCCCGTCATCCATAATGAGAGGTTTCAGTTCTTGCAATTGTCTTCGAGTTGACGTTTGAAACAAGCCCAAATTTAATCTCACAAGGAAAACTTCATAGAAAGAATGAGGTCTAACTTGGAAAAAGAAAAATCCTCCTACCTGGTCGTACTGTGAACAAGTAAAACTCCATCCCACGTCTTACTGCCCATAGAAAGTATAGTTTGGTTCAGTGGCAAGTACCAGCATAGTGCCTTATAATTTTTTTAGCGTAACCCTGTGTGAAAACAGTTAAGGGGTATATATTTGCCTCGACCTGAGAACATTCCTCAACAGGCCAACATGACCTCACCTATGTTTGATAACTGAGACGCATACGTCAGCAAACGTTTAGAAAAGATTACGTTCGTATATCCCCTTGCAATGCCACGACCTTCTTAGTGACAGGTATGGTACTGCAGTACCAGCCACTATCAGGCAACCCGTTTTGTTTCGTTTTGTATTCGTGCAGTCGTACAGGAATTAGTGCAGTCATACAGACAACCATGCGTCAAACAAACACCGTGTAGGCATACAGACAACCATGTTTCACACAAACACCATGTTGGCATACAGACAACCATGTGTCACACAAACCGTGACCGTGTAGGCATACAGACAACCATGCGTCACACAGGCACCATGTAGGCATACAGACAACCATGTGTCACACAGACACACAGACACCATGTAGGCATACAGACAACCATGTGTCACACAGACATCATGTAGGCATACAGACAACCATGCGTCACACAGACACCATGTAGGCATACAGACAACCATGTTTCACACAAACACCATGTTGGCATACAGACAACCATGTGTCACACAAACCGTGACCGTGTAGGCATACAGACAACCATGCGTCACACAGGCACCATGTAGGCATACAGACAACCATGTGTCACCCAGACACACAGACACCATGTAGGCATACAGACAACCATGCGTCACACAGACACACAGACACCGTGTAGGCATACAGACAACCATGCGTCATACAGACACCATGAAGACATACAGACAACCATGCGTCACGCAGACACCATGTAGGCATACAGACAACCATGTGTCACACAAACCGTGACCATGTAGGCATACAGACAACCATGCGTCACACAGGCACCATGTAGGCATACAGACAACCATGCGTCACACAGACACACAGACACCATGTAGGCATACAGACAACCATGCGTCATACAGACACCATGAAGACATACAGACAACCATGCGTCACGCAGAAACCATGTAGGCATACAGACAACCATGTGTCACACAAACCGTGACCATGTAGGCATACAGACAACCATGCGTCACACAGGCACCATGTAGGCATACAGACAACGATGCGTCACACAATTGACGCCTTCCGTATACTCTCTCACCCTGATTTTGTAGTCATTTTGTAGTCATCTGTTTTGCTCAGTTCTGTATTCTCTCTCTCTCTCTCTCTCTCTCTCTCTCTCTCTCTCTCTCTCTCTCTCTCTCTCGGACGGCTAAAACAACAGCGTTAAAACAATTAAATCTTTTGCCATTTTTACTGTTAAGCAGCCTCTCTATTATAAGCGACAAAACCAGGTCCATATTCATTAAAACTCTCTGCCAAAAACAGAGTCGATTGTACGATTCCGACAATATCATGATCATGAGAGCTTGAATGTTGTAACCTTGATCAACTTCTGAGCAAGAGTTGTAAGGCGCTCTTTGAAATATTGGTAGAAAGAGCACGCTCGATTGTACCTCAAAATGCTGGAGCTGCAGGAATATTGCTCGACGAGAGTTGACTGTTGGACTATTGAAGAATTTCATGAACAAAATAATCCTTATTGATTCTATAAGACCAGATCACATTTGATATTGATTTATTTTCAAAGTGTTTTATCCATCGGTATTACACCCACGCATAAAATTATAATTAACAATAGATATGATTGTCTAAAGACAATATGCACCATCTGAAATCGAGACGTTTTTGCGTGGTTTCTGGAGACAAGAACGATAACTTAATGAAAATGTGTCTATTTTCCCCTTTCTTCCTCCGATATTTATATTACCTCTAGGGGTACGTGAATGCCGATATATGTATTCCAAATAGGATTTTTTAATCCGTTTACGGAGCGTGTGATGTTTACACTTTCACTTGGACATTTAAATACTTTCTACGAATGCAATGAATTTCTCTCTCGGGAATTGAATTAATGTATTTAGTAAAATTGATATTCGCAATCACCTTTCACGATATTTGCAATTTAAGCATGTTTAAGTATATGAACAAATATAGAGCTCCAAAGACATCCAAAGATTTCTGTTTTGTCCAGTTCTAAATTTGTTTGTGGAATCAATGACTACAGTGAGTGAGTGAGTGAGTGAGTGAGTATGGTTTTAGCAATATTCCAGCAATATCACGGCGGGGGACACCAGAAATGGGCTTCACACATTGTACCCATGTCGGGATTCGAACCCGGGTCTTCGGCGTGACGAGCGAACGCTTTAACCACTAGGCTATCCGACCGCCCCCATCAATGACTACAAGTGAGTATGTGAGTATGTGAGTATGGTTTTTGCCCGCCTTTAGAAATACTCCAGCTGCATCACATCAGGGGACACAACAAATGGGCTTCCAACATTGTACCCACGTGGGAATCGAACCCGGGCCTTCGGTGTGACGATCGAACGCCTTAAGCTCTGGACTACCCCACCGCCCCTCAATCACTACAATCTCTACAAGCACCATCGAACAAAGTAGGTGAGGTGAGGTGAGATTTAACGTTCCGGTCAAGATTATTGCACTTAAGTAGCGACGTGCAAGAGTGAGTGTGTGAGTATGTGTGTGTGTGTGTGCGTGCGTGTGTGTGTGTGTGTGTGTGCGTGCGTGCGTGCGTGCGTGCGTGCGTGCGTGCGTGCGTGCTAGCACACCCGGATACAAATGCCACCTTTTAACACTAATACCTCACTCAGACACAGTATACTAACTCCGAGCCCACCAGCCCCTAATGCCGAGCGCCTGGCAGTGAAACACCAAGTACTATCTTTTAACACCTTTTGGTATGACGCGGCGGGGATCGAGCCCCCGACCTTCCGCTGTACAGGCAGACGCTCTACAACTAGACCACGGAGGCCTTCTCTTACAAAGTAACATACACCCGGCGATGATGGCATCATTGACAATTTCCCAAGGGAGGACAAAACACTTGCTATTACCAACAGTTTTATTGACGTTTCCACATTACAGGTGATTGTGGGTCCTTCTTATGTACACTTGACGTCCTCTGGTTTCAGTGCATTCACCTCGGCACACTGGACTCGGTCAACGGGGTCCTCCCTGTTCTTCGGGTCACCGCAGTACATGTTCTTGAAACGCTGAAGACAGGAGGAGAGTGAGTGAGTGAAATGGATACCTATCGCTCTTTGGGTAGTACATGATACTACTTCGGTCATTGTGTAATGTGTGATCAAATATGAAAGTAACACAGGCTATCAACGTTTATTTCGAACCCATGACTAACGGAATAAGTAGAGTGAGTGATTGCTGTGTTATGCCGCTTTCACAATATTCATGTCAAATCTGGACAGGGTAAACCAACAATGGGCTTCCTACAAATGAAGTGAACCGACGTGACGAGTGAACGCTTGAACATCTGTCTTTGGGCATATGGGAAGGTATTCGAAATGAAAGTTTATATTACTAAACCAGTGACATTATCACATGCCATGAAATTACAATACTGATATCGGAGAGTGGTATGTGTAGCTCCGGATTTAAAGGGACTTAATATATAACTCCGTTATAACTATATCTTAATTAAGTATATGAAGAAAACAATGGTTAACACTCCTTGAAAATAATGACTTGGTTTGTTTGCGAATTATTCGCAATATCGACACTCTTTATATCCGGACTGTTGATTTACTTACAGTGTATTGCGTCGCTAAGAAGTCGGCATTGGTAAAATCTGAAAAATAGATAAAAAAGTAAGTGAAATGTTGCTTTACGTCGCTTTAATTCCAGCTAAATCGCGACTGTCTGTTAATAACCATTGTTAACACGGTATTAACTCCATCAGCAGCGACTCACGTCGTCGGGTACGGTGACACATGGTCAGACAGGTCCCAAATTGTTTCCATTTGACCCTATGCGGCTCTTTCGAAATACACGATGTTTCAGGCACCTATTGTTGGTACCTGTTTAGTTGGACTTCAGGTGCATGCGTTTATTTTAGAACGTAATGTTGCAGGTTGGGCACCTTGAATCAAACTATTTCACAAATCATTTCGGACACTAGTTTTACTTGGGCACTAACACAACGTGACGTTTTCATGATGTTCTCTATCAGTTTAGTTCGTCATTCCGACGCTGTAAGACAGGGACATTGCGATCCACTTAGCCTGTTCTGGACGGAAATGTTACTGTTATAGATATTCCATGATTCATTAAATCGTTAGACGTTACACGGAATGTCGCCCGCTGAAACCGCCAGCGAAAGGACACAAATCTTCAAAATATATCTTACTTACTGAATGTCTTGAAGTCGTTTGCGGTCGCAAGGCCATCTTGGTTGGCGTCGAATAATTTGTACATGAATCGGCCGTATTGGTCGGAGAAGCCGTACCTACACGTCCATCTGGCCACGACCTCCCACTCTTGCATGATGCAAAGGTCATCTGTAGGTCAAATTATAAAATACCAAGTTTCTTCTCAAATATCGTACGCCACAATCATAGCCATATTGTTACCAAACACAAAATGTAGAAGTGAGGCTAAAATATGTCAAAAAACTGATTCTAGACGTTTTCAGGATTTTTTTTCTGATATTTCAAAATGAGGACGGGTTTGACCGAATATGATGTTCTTAGGGAAATAAGGAAAGCGGGAACAAAGAAATGGGTAAAACATCCTCATTGTTAGATTGCAGCCTCAGATGGTGGAGTCTTTTGTACTTTTTCTACGGTACTTGATCATGTCATAAATGCAATAACACACACACACACACACACACACACACACACACACACACACACACACACACACACACACACACACACACACACACACACACACACACACACACCCGACCTTACTAAACAGAACTTACCGTCGTAGTTGTAATACAGGACGTCTTTGCCGATGTCACTGCCGTCCACTCTGCCGTCACCGTTGACGTCGTTGTCAAGCAAAGCAGCACAGAACTTCCCTACAAGCTGCTCGGGAGGGTTGCAGTGGTTAAACAGGTTAAACCAAAACCTTCAAAAGTGAGTGAGTGAGTGAGTGACCACAGTTACCGATCAAGACCACCTGGTAAATTAATTCGCCCTTTACGACAAGAATAGATTTATGGGGATCTGTTCTAACGGGATGTTTGGTATTATGAGATGTAATCGTAGCAATTGTAGTATGATAAGAGCTTATTTAGAATATTTTTCAAATCAGGTGTTACAGTTTGGGTGAATGTCTTGATATACCTGGAGAAACCACAGGTCCCACAGAAGAGGAGGGCAAACACGGTGAGTCGGAGGGCAAGCATTCTGTGAAATAAAACACAGGCAAGTAATAACGTTTCTATTGGACAGGACCCGTGCAGTGTCATTGCGTATGAGCTGAGTAGCAAAGTATTGGTCGGTAACACGAACATAAGTCAAACCATTGAAGTACACAGTTCATCAACCTGGATGTTTTCTCAGTTGTCACACAGGATTGTTGTTGTTGAAACCGGCAACCACATCAAACCTGATCAAAGCTGCTTCAAGAAGGGACACTCATTGATCATATATTAAGACCCGAAAATGAAATAAAAAAGCACAATTAAACAGGAAATACACAGTCGCAGTATTTCTGGACTTCGGCAAAGCCTTCGACATGGTATGGCATGACGGAGTCCTCACAAAACTAGCACGAAATGGAGTTGAAGTAAACATGGCAAACTTCACAGACAGCTTCCTGCATAACAGGTCACTATCAGTTAAAATAGGGACAATCAATCTGATCCTATGTCACTGGACAATGGCAGCATTATACCCCTAACCCTCTTTAACATCATGATCAATGATCTATATGATAATGTCAACTCATCTACCCCAACTTCTAAATTCGCTGATGACGGAGTAATATGGATCACAGACAGAGATATTTCACAAATAGATGACTGGGACACCCGTGCCCCCTAAACACTTAAAACAGCAACATAATCAAGCAGGGGTTTCGGAAACAATTTATCCACGATGTGTTAGAGGGAAACCCATTAATTATAGTCGTTGTATCAGTAGTTATACTCTCTATGTGATATTGTCAAACTATATCATACAAGAGGGAATGCAAAAGTTAATTACATCTGTACAAGATTATCATTGAACTGTGTTGTAAGGTATTTTAGTAAAATACGAAAAAGTACGAACCTGTCTGAATGCACTGGATAACGACTCTAGCTTTGGCCAGATCCGTTTTAGACTATTCACACAGCAGCTAGCTCCGCCCCAATTGGAGGCAGGCGCTTTGCCAGGAGCTTTGCCAGGTGAGGGTCCAGAGGAGGGGTGTCCACGTTATGCTAACTTCAGCTGAGAATCGTGTCCGTTTACGCTAAAGAGAACCATATCTGTCAATATCATTTTTCTGTAATATATGTCACTTTCAACAGTCGGAAAAAATATAAAAGAGAGAGAGAGAGAGAGAGAGAGAGAGAGAGAGAGAGAGAGAGAGAGAGAGAGAGAGAGAGAGAGAGAGAGAGAGAGAGAGAGAGAGAGAGAGCTAAACAAAACGGATGACTAAATGACTACAAAATCAGAGAGAGCGAGAGAGAAATATACGGAAGGCGTCAATCGTTAGTAACAATAGCAATCATTCGGGCATCTGGCCAAGACTTATTATTTACAGGCAACCGCTTCAAGTGCGACGTTAATCAACACAGAAACAAACATCAAGTAAAGGCTCTTTCCCGTGGGTATTCGAGTTATGGGTCAATTTATGCCTTGACATTGTATCCTTCCAACATTCGTTTTACTGCAGTGCTTGCCGAGTTGCATGTACATCGAGGTTCTCACAAGGGCCTAAAAAGTTCGTTCTTTGGACTTGAGTGTATTTAAACAATCAGCTGGAATTGGATACATCCATGTAAGCAATACTATTGCTAATTTTACAGTGAAAAAAGTTCATCCGAATTATATAATCTCAATAAATCCCGAGCTGACAATTGCAAGAAACAAAACATTTAGCCATTTCTCCTCACAGATGTGCAAGAGAAATATTCCCATCCTCAACACTCGAAAATAGGAGAAGAGACAGAAATATTTGATTTTTATGACATCAAAAAATAAATTTTTAAGTCAAATAGTTTCTACATACATGAGAAAATGTACATGTTTCTATTTTTGTTTGCAGAACGACGTTGATCTGTGTTAATGAATCAAGGTAAGAGTAACTGGATTAAAGTGAACATCAAAGGCGCTTCCAGACACGTTCTACATAATTGCCATTTTTCGTCCACCCTAATACAAACCAGACCCAATAAAGCCTGTACTTAGACACGCCGGATAGGGTGTCTGCATACGAAGAAACCTTTGGATTTTGAACTACACACACGAAGTAGACCTTTCATTGCCTTTGGTGTTACCTGAGTTGTTTTGAGGCATCATAGATGCATCCCATTGATTTGTTATTGTTTTTGATAGATTAACTAATCAACATCAAACATGATCATTGCAAAATATATTTTTTAGTTCGAGTGTCAGTTACGAAAGTCGAAGAAGAGACATCAGAAGTGGATGGTATCAGAAGTTTATTCCAGCAGCTTGTGGGGGTAGATATCTATGTGCAGGAGGGGTTATTTTCAGACGCTATAGAAGAAATCGAGACTGGATTTCCTGGCGCTGCTTTGACAAAGACTGTGTATCGACTGCTTCCACATCAGACGACATCGTCACAATGGTTAGCAATGACCACAATCAACGCTTGTTCAGAATGACATGAAGGTAAGTGTCGTTCATAAATTAAATACCCTGTTAATAATATATTACCACAATAACACAAATAAGGTGAGGTGAGGTGAAATGGGGTTTAACGTCGCGTCCAAGATTATTGCACTTATATAGCGACGTGCATGTACGTGTGTGTGTTTGTGTGGCTGCTTGTACTAGTCCGGACTGATGCCGATATATAGTGTTAGCTCACTGAGATACCATGCCGCAGTTTAACATGAATACCCCACTCAGACACAGTATACTGACTCCGAGCCGACCAGTCCTTGTTTTAGCCCCTTAATGCCGAGCGCCAGACAGGGTAACAACAAGTACCATCTTCCGCTCTCCGGGCGGACGCTCTACCACTAGACCACGGAGGCGGTCTAACACAAATAATAAACAAACAGTAACAAGTTTACTAATACTTTTATTGGATTTTATTTTATTAGATGCATATATAAAATATGCGTGGATAAGAAATAAAACATTCAGCCATTTGTTTTTATTGAAGATGTTTATTGATTTGAAATGTCATGTGAACCATGGTTCAGTAACACATACATTGTAGTAATACTAATAATGTGTTATTATGGGAACAATTTCAAGGAGTGTTGTTATTATTATAATATTTATTCATTTCAGGTGAGGCAGACTCCAGCGAGCACCCACATCTTAGCCAAAGTCATCTCTAGATCCAATGCCATCTATGTTGGATGAAGAGGCCATCAAACTGGAGCTCATGTAGTCTCCCAGATGCCAACATTTAAACGCGTCGCACAAGAAGATCCGTTCTTCCGAAGAGACCGACCATCAGACAAGGCCTGTTCACAGCGGATGGTTAATACTTCGAACAGTTCCTGCTGAAGGATGACTGAGTGGACAACAAAATGCGGATCTTCGCCACTGACAGCACTTGTTGCATCTGTCTTCATCCTATCTATGCCATCAATGTAATGTTAATTATGTAAATGTATATACATGTTTTATTGTACAGAATATAAATATAGTATACATAAATCATGAAATGAATTGCCAATAAATGAAGTGAAAGAAGTAAAAAAAAAGTTTTATATTTTATCAAATTGACAAAATGGTCGGAGACGGTATGTATTGATAAATTCACACACAGTTGACCATATGTGTAGCGACACACCTAAAACCGGATCAGCTGGGTACGAAATCTGTATTAACTGGCAAGATTAACATGGTTGAACCTATCTAGTTTAATAGCCTAAATAGTCAAATGCACAATGTGGACCTGTTTGGGTGTGCATTAACCCCGGACAGGTCGACTGAAGAGTTCTGTGATGACTACACTGAAGGGGTATTCTATTGTACAGCTGGACAGACTTATACTTGTCATACGTCGCTTTGACCTGGACACAGTGACTTCCGAACACAGGGCATTTGTACTTGGTGACTTCACAACGTCCGGCAGCCTCGTGCTATAAACGTTCACCAAACATCCGAATCTCGTTATTGAAATGAATGACAACTAGATCATGTCTGCACGACAGAGTGGATATCTAAAGGACATTGTTATCGATGTGCCACCATGTCTGACTTTATGATTGCATGTTCGTCTTTATGACTGCATGTATTCCTGCGTGGTATAAATGAATGCTTGTCCGTGTGAGCGCATGGTTATCCGTGTGACTGCATGGTGTGACTTGAGCACGCTTTTCTGTATGACTGAATGCTTTTTGTATCCCTACATGGTGTCTGTGTGACGCTTGGTTGTCTGTATTCCTACATGGTGTTTGTGTGACGCATGGTTGTCTGTATGCCTACATAGTGTCTGTGTGACGCATGGTTGTCTGTATGCCTACATAGTGTCTGTGTGACGCATGGTTGTCTCTATGCCCACATGGTGTTTGTGTGACGCATGGTTGTCTGTATGCCTACATGGTGTTTGTGTGACGCACGGTTGTCTGTATGCCTACATGATGTTTGTGTGACGCATGGTTGTCTGTATGCCTACATGGTGCTTGTGTGACGCTTGGTTGTCTCTATGCCTACATGATGTTTGTGTGACGCATGGTTGTCTGTATGCCTACATGGTGCTTGTGTGACGCTTGGTTGTCTGTATGCCTACATGGTGTTTGTGTGACGCACGGTTGTCTGTATGCCTACATGATGTTTGTGTGACGCATGGTTGTCTGTATGCCTACATGGTGTTTGTGTGACGCATGGTTGTCTGTATGCCTACATGATGTTTGTGTGACGCATGGTTGTCTGTATGCCTACATGGTGCTTGTGTGACGCTTGGTTGTCTGTATGCCTACATGGTGTTTGTGTGACGCACGGTTGTCTCTATGCCTACATGATGTTTGTGTGACGCATGGTTGTCTGTATGCCTACATGGTGTTTGTGTGACGCATGGTTGTCTGTATGCCTACATGATGTTTGTGTGACGCATGGTTGTCTGTATGCCTACATGGTGTTTGTGTGACGCTTGGTTGTCTGTATGCCTAAATGTTGATTGTGTGACGCATGGTTGTGTCTGTATGCCTACATGGTGTCTGTTTGACGCATGATTGTCTGTATGCCTACATGGTGTCTGTGTGACACATGGTTCTCTGTGTGCCTACATGGTGTTTGTGTGACGCACGGTTGTCAGTGTGACGCATGATTTCCTGTACGACTACATGATTTCTACAATTTCTACAATTTATTGTATGACTGCATGGTTGTCGTTACGACTGCATGGCTGTCTTTACGACTGCATGGTTTCCTGTACGACTGCATGATTTCCTTGGGTGTCTGAATGAATGTGTAGTTGCCACTTTAACTACAGGGTTATCTGCATGGATTTGTTTGAGTGCATTTGTGTCTATATGACCGTTGTGAATATGTGAGACTGCATTGGTACTATCTATATGATATTTGTTATTTGTGACTGCACTCAGCGAATGGTTGAGTGCTTACAGTGTGTATTTCTGACTTCATGCTTCATATTTGATATAATAACTAAGAGTGCATGGCAGTCAACAAACAATTAGGCAATTCCGAAACACTCATGGCGGTCCCTACCTTATCCAAAAAGTACGTTTAAAAGTTTGCCACACTGATGCCTGACTGTGAGTACTTCTACATTGATTCATATTTTCCATACATGGTAATGCATGATGCACGTGTAGAGATCACAATCTGCACCAATCTGCACCGTCACTGTGCATCAACGACATACACGCATGCCCTCCTGGGAAACACACATGTCGTCATTTTTCATATTTACTCACAGTACCTTAAGTATATAAATATTTACGTTGATAGAAACACAGGTTCAGTTTTCTGCGCTCTAAATGACTTGCAGTTTGTAGAATTAAGGGGGAAGGGGGAGGGTCAAGACACAGTATCCACAGTGTACACAATATCCAGATTAAAAACTGTTCACGTCTGAAGGGTTAAGATAAAGAAACAGTATCTACTGCGCCGTTGGTGAATGGGTTGTACACTGGCCAAAGTCGCCCTGAATGCGTACAGAATGCGATGTCTGGGTTCGGATCCGAGTTTCGCCCCGATTGACAACATGAATGATTGACAACATGAGCAGCGATCTACGCAATTGAGATTGGGATTTTGTAAATGACATCTCATACGAGAGCGAGAGAGAGAGAGAGAGAGAGAGAGAGAGAGAGAGAGAGACAGAGAGAGAGAGAGAGAGAGAGAGAGAGAGAGAGAGAGAGAAAATATGGAACGCGTTTTGTCGCTTATATGAAGTACATGTCAGTAAAAGGTTAAGTAAATGTGAGAGGGAGGATGCTTGATAGTAAAAATGGCAAAAGATTTAATTGATTTAACACTGTTTTTCAGACGTCCGTGAATCCCAGTCTTGCAAAATGGCCTGAATAGTGCTGAAGGCGGTGCAAAACCCCTCTCACCCTCAATGTAACGGTTGCATGCACACATTCAATAAAACCCCAGATTCTTATTTTCTTGTCTGATTCCCGAACAAAAGGTCACCACGACCGACGGTACACTAAACGAATATCAGTAGTTTGTGCAGATGTAGAAGGCACTGCCGGACCAACACGGCAAATAATCCCAGCACTAAATATTGCAAATACGTACGGATGTGCGTCCTGTCTAGAGCCCCACTTTGATTGATAGGTTGAGTTTGCTGACTAACAAGCAAAGCAGGGCTCTGCTCCAAGAAACAAACCCACCAAGCCTGGCTCTGCAGTTGCTCGCTAGAAGAGTCGAGAATGAAGGTGAGCTCGAAATGAACTGGGCATCCACTTCGTTTTAAAGCTTTGTTAAGTATTATTAACATAGAAATCCTAATCAGTGTGAGTTATATAGAATGTCCATTGTTTTGCTGTTGATGTCTGTTGCCATGTGGTTGACTTTAATTCTGTTCAGTTAGAATGTGCTATTCAAGAATGCTTTAAGACCTTTTTGTGAAAATGTTCGGGAAAATTGTGTTCTGATGTTAGTATGTATATCACTCATTATCATTCGTTAAAATAATTTATCAATATCACCAACGTAATGTATTCAATAAATAACGTTTTAACGTCTTGCAGAATTAGTGTAAGTATATGTTTTTTGGTATTCTTCATTGTTTTGTTGTGCTGCTGAATAACAATATGCCTTTGGAGTAAAAAACTAAGCTCTTGTAAACCCAACACAGATGATGTGCAGAGCGTTGTTGTGTCTGGCCCTAGTCGTGGGTTCTGTATCTGCCATGGAAAGCTGGTTCAGCAACAACAAGATGACAGAATGCGGCGACTTCCAAATCCAAACCAAGGGCAGGTGGGAACTACAAATTAGTATTTCAATTTCAATAGTCGTACATTTATAATAACTACAGCTTGTAAGTACCAGACCGCCTTATGTGTCAATCTGCTGTGGGAGAAAATAATGAAGTGATGCACGTGTTAGACGCTTACCACTCTTGAGAAACCCGCGAGCACTGGTATGGTGCTACCAAACCATGGGTGATAGTTAGAAGGAATGTGGGATTCGAACCCACGATAATACGGTCCCGGCACAAAATATGAGACACACATCTGCATATCTTAGACAACTGATCCACTCGTGCGCTGGTCTTGCGTTGAAGTAATTGTACATTTATAACGTCATGATATTTTAATAGAAGCGACCTGGCTTAGGCGAAGTTTAACTAAAGTTTTATTTTACCGCCACGGGTGATTATCCAAAGAAATACTACCGGATGGGCAACGGTTTGGTTCCATAACCGTACCAGGATACGCTGGTGGTGATCAGATTTTGATCTTTGGTTTGTCAGCACCATCTTCGTGCTCGTGGAATTCAGCAAAATAGTTATAGCCTCCGGCCTGCGTCACTTGGGGCATTTCTCTTAAGGTAATCAGAATTTATCTTCTCTTATTTTGTTCAAATGAACAATTTACTTGCCTTTGCATGTATTTGTGACGGTGCCACTGGTGGGTAGGATATGATCATCGTTTCGCGAACACCTGGTCTCGTCACACGTGATAGTAATTTAGGAACGCATGCTTATGATGTAGTGGGAGTCGTGCTTTGAGTCGCCCCTGACAACCATGAGCTACTGGGAACATTCTGGTACCTAGGGTCCCCATGCTGTCAGAGTTGCAGTACCCATAATATGCACAGAAAACAAATCAGTTGAAAAAGAATTTTGTCAGAGTGAAAATATTTTAGCAGAGAAAAACGGTTTCTGCCTCAAGACTAAATCTTGGTTACATCAAGTCATTTTTCTTGTATATGTGGGATATTGTTTATTTTAGGTCGGGTGGTTCAATGTTATTTAATGTGACGCCTGACTCCATCATTTTGTATTCTCGCAGGCTCTCCAGCAAACCCATGACTGATGTTGACACGCGTCAAGTTCTGGCTGACATCAAAGCTTTCGACACCAACAAAGATGGCTACGTCACTTCCGCCGAAACGAGGGACCCAACTGTTGCAGCTACCTTCGACAGTGACCTTAACCGTAAGTATTTGTTCAAAAAAAGGTTATTCAGAATCACATTACGACCTTGCCTGATCACTACTTTTGCTACATTGGCCTGACATCTTACCCGAGGGTACAGTGGGAACACATTGCAGCCCCTGGAGCTACTCAAGAAGCGTTATACGTAATTTTTCCAATCCCCAAATAGCAAAGATCTTGTGGGCTCGCCTGCCATAACTCACAGTGCAGAGTTAGTCCCCTTTGCTGTGCAAGGATCAGCCGATCGTTCTTTTACATTCCGCATTCACTCTGATGATGAGACAGCAATAAATCCGTTTGTGTATTAATGTGTGTGATGGACATCTACAGCCTGCATGACATAAATGTTACACGCCGTCATATGACATGAAGTTAAAACCAACTTACTCACCTAACATGCTACAATGAGGTGCACAAGGATGATACATTCATCTGCGGTGCATGAATATGTATAAAGTACAGGTCAAGCACTTCATCGAAATCTTTCTGTTTCATATACCATAATATATCCAAATATCGATGTCATGGAACATCAACCGAATAATCACACTAGGAATAACCACAGATAATGGTTTGCTCTGTATGAAATCCTGATATTGACGATACCTTTTTATTATTATGAGCATTTTATTGGTGAATGTTTTTGTTGTTGTTACCAGACTCAGGTTTCGCTGATGTGACGATAAATCATAACACGTTATTTACATAACGATATGAATACATTCTATACCTGAGGTATACAATCAGTCTTTCAGGAGGCCCCGTAGTACTGATTTTATGAGCGCCTCATTCGGTTTGTCGACGGTCTTTTTTTTTAAAACCGCGGTGTTCTCAATAAATATGAAATTGCCCCATATCTTTAATAACGTCCTGTCTGGATTTGGTTTTGTTTGGTTTGTCGTTTAACGCCGCACTCAGCAATATTCCAGCTACAAATGTATATGACTGCGGTCTGTAAATAATCGAGTCTGGACCAGACAATCCAGTGATTAATATCATGAGCATAAATCCACGCAAATGGTTGGTTGGTTGGTTTATTGTTTAACGCCGCACTCAGCAATATTCCAGCTATATGACGGCGGTCTGTAAATAAACGAGTCTGGACCAGACAATCCAGTGATTGATATCATGAGCATCGATCCACACAATTGGGTCCACGCAATTGGGATGGATGACATGCATCAACTAAGTCAGCGAGCCTGACCACCCGATCCCGTTAGTCGCCTCTGACGACAAGCATAGTCGCCTTTTACGGCAAGCATGGGTTGCTGAAGACCTATTCTACCTCGGATCTTCACGCGTCTCCTGTCTGGAATATTCTATATTTGATTTACCTCCGTTCGTATATCGGTTGATAAGAGACATTGTTAACATTGAAATCTGTTCACATTTGTTAAATGTGTTAATTGCAAAATGTGTGTTCGGCGGATTTGTAATGAAAATAATAAAGGAACATTTTTAGATAATTGTATTGTAGCGACTATTAGAACGTCGTCAGGGATTGACAAATACGCTGGCCCACATAACACGTGTCAGTAAATCAGAACAACGAATTATAAAAAAGGGTAGGTCGAATTGATTTGTGGAAAATATGTAACGTATACCCACGAGCGACGGATCCTTGCACAGCAAAGGGGCACAAGTCTGCTCTGCGAGTTCTGGCAGCTGAAACCAGATGAGCTTTTACAATACAAATACAATCATAGACGAATATTTACGTAGAACGATACAATTATATATGGATATGTATTTCTTTTGTCTATTTATATTTTTCTTGGGCCGGTGATGTGTCTGCGACAATGTACTGATAACTTTTGAAGAAAATAAATGTTTAACTCTGACGATATCGTATGTTCTTGTCTTTAGCAGTTAACGCTGCGGTCGATCGTTGCACCTACATTTCGTAGTTCTTGTCTTCAACAGCTGACGCTCCAGTCGATCGTAACACAAATATTTCGAATGTTCTTGTCGTTTACAGTTATCGGTTTGGTCGATCGTTGCACCTGCATTTGTATGTTCTGCCCATGAGCAGCCAACACTTTGGTCGTTCGTAACACCTGCATTTCTTATGTTCTTGTCTTGAGCAGCTGAGCCTTTGGTTTATCGTTACACCACACCTCGTAGTTAAAGCTCGTGGTTAACGCTTTGATCGATTTTAACACCTACATTTCTTATGTTGTTCTCCTGAGCAGCTAATGCTTTGATCGATTTTAACACCTACATTTCTTATGTTGTTCTCCTGAGCAGCTAATGCTTTGGTCGATTGTAACACCTACATTTCGCATGTTGTTCTCCTGAGCAGCTAATGCTTTGATCGATTTTAACACCTACATTTCGTATGTTGTTCTCCTGAGCAGCTAATGCTTTGATCAATCGTAACACCTACGTTTCGTATGTTGTTCTCCTGAGCAGCTAATGCTTTGATCAATCGTAACACCTGCGTTTCGTATGTTGTTCTCCTGAGCAGCTAATGCTTTGGTCGATTGTAACACCTACATTTCGTATGTTGTTCTCCTGAGCAGCTAATGCTTTGATCGATTGTAACACTAACGTTTCGTATGTTCTCCTGAGCAGCTTATGCTTTGATCGATTGTAACACCTACGTTTCGTATGTTTTTTGTCGTGTGCAGTTACCGCTGGAGTCGATCGTTGCACCTTCGTGATGATGGCGAAGAAGCGATATGACATCAGCACAGGTGTCGCAGCCCGCCTCTTCGACCTTCAGGACTCCAACAATGACCTCATGATAACCGTAGCGGACCAGGACGCGGCTGCCTTCAAATTGTTGGATAAGGATGGTGGGTTCACGATAACTTGGCAAATATTGATGTACAAAATCTTCACATGGACATCCACTCTCTACATTTTACAGTCACATTGTTTAAGGGCACGGATGACTCAGTTGCCGGATACGACGAAGTTCACTGAACAGACTTGCATCTCGTTGGCATGCAAGAATTACATGATCATTGGTTTGAATCCCAGATTCTTAGCTTACCTGTGCTCCTGGATTTCATCCAAAAGCATCAACAGTGTTTTGAACTTCGAACATAACGAAACAACAAAACGTATTTATTTGCTCTTTGAATTTTCTTTAAAATGGAATACATAAATATATAATTCATATTAGTTGGTTATACTGGCGTTTGTTTGTGGCCTTCAGTTTTCGCAAGCCATTTGACGGAAAACCCAACCAGAAACACACATAACACCGCCAGCTCCTCCAGCTCGACACAAACATCCAGCAAGCAGATAAGAAATGTGTAAATGCAACATTGATGAGAAGTCAGCACGCAATAAAGTGTATTTGTTTGCCTGCAGGTGATGGCCAAGTGTCTGTGTGTGAAGCCTTCAAGGGATTCATGGCCAGCCTGGAGGATTTGGAAAACAAGGTCTACACCACGGAGGTATTTCATGACGCGTCAGCAATATTTAACCTTTGCTGCGACATTGTAGTGTGTACTGCTCCGCATTTACTATCCCGCATCCGATGATACCTAATACGTAACTAGGACTGACGTTTTCATCAGGTTCAAAGGTAAATGGTTTGGTTACACATGGGGTATAACATGTCCACGATTCTATGAAGTTTGCATTCTGGAAAGAGCTTGTAGATGTCGGTACAAAATACAGCATCAGACTTCAGTAGAACGTGATGAAGGCGTGAATCCTAGCTACGAGTGTTTTAGCGATCAGTAGATGTCGGGTAGTAAAGCGGCGCAATACATAGCTACTATTTCCCATCTAACTTTTAGCCCTGGACCTAGTCATGCTTCAATAAACTTAAGAAAAAGCACGACCTTACAATTATCTCTGTAAGTGTTGTATACAATTAGCAAGCGAAAACGAGATTTACTGGCCACTATTTCTGTTTCCACAGCTGAAGTATAGCAACATCGCCTACAAGTACAGGAAACCCCCACCCACATCCTAATCCGCAATGTTCGCCATGGCAACAAAGGGGCCGACGGACATGTGACCGCAAGGACGATAAATGTAATGCTTTGTTAATAAAGTGATACATACTCATCTGTTGCTTGGACTTGTCCTATTGCCTTGATGTACATACGCATACATGTATATGGCTCAGTCATCAAAGTCGCCGCCATTCGCTTTACAAAGGTGCTTTCCTATGCGTACCAGGAACCTATGACGGGAGTCCCAGATTGTCCATAATTTGGGGCTGATAAACACAATGGCCATGTTCGTGGCTTCAGCCCTGCATCACTTTAGACTTCCTCCCTCTGATCGAGCTCGCACGCCGTGATATGATAGAATAATGTACAAAAGCGGCCTTAAACCGATCTCGTTCCCTGTTCTGAACTCAACAATCATAAACCATAAAATACCTACCTTCGCGTTTCATCTTATCTTTTAAAGGTGAAAACTACTTGCAACACAGTGAAGCAACTGAACCTTTCAGAAAGTTTGATCTCCACCATGTTATTGTTTTCGAAATGGTCACTTTGATTACCACATATCAAGTAGATGACCGTCACAATACAAGTTATGTCCAATAAACTTGAACGACTGAAGGGCGGTGGTGACGCATAGTGGATCAAGCGTTGCCTGGTTCGTCTCGTTGAAGATTCTGGTTCGATTACTTACTTAGGTACAATACGCCAGACCCATTTCCCATGATGCAAAGCTACCCACGCCATGATTTTGCCAAAAGCGGCGTATAACATCATTCAATCACTTACCCTTCACTCGGGAGATGTTCTTGTCATCATCCAAAAGCGGTATCATTTAAATCAACCTGTGTGTCAACACAAAAACGTCTTGACTTTGAACTTCCTTCTTTATCCTTAGTTTCATGTTCCATGTACCATGCGTTATAACAATTGCGTTAACCGCGCGTTTACCGTAAAAAAAAAGAGATAAAAAATAGAAAGGTCAAGGTCGCTTCAGGGAGTCGACCATGTGATTGGATGTGAAACACGCATAAAGCATAATATAACATAGAAAATCAAATGTGTGAGTTGGGTTTAACGCCATTTTTAACAGTATTCCAGTTATATCATGGCGGTCTGTAAATAATCGAGTCTGGACCAGACAATCTCAGGCAACTGAGGTCGATGACATGCATCAACCAAGTCAGCGAGCCTGACCACCCGATCCCGTTTGTCACCTCTTACGACCAGCATAGTCGCCTTGTACGGCAGGCATGGGTTGCTATTCTATCCTGGATTAGTGCTGGGATCATTTGCCGTGTTGGCCCGGCAGTGCCTTCTACATCTAAACTAAACACTGATATTCGTTTAGTGTACCGTCGGTCGTGGTGACCTTTTGTTCGGGAATCAGACAAGAAAATAAGAATCTGGGGTTTAATTGAATGTGTGCATGCAACCGTTACATTGAGGGTGAGAGGGGTTTTGCACCGCCTTCAGCAATATTCCGTTTTTTTTGCAAGAATGGGATTCACGGACGGCTACAAAAGTAGTGTTAAAACAATGAAATCTTTTGCCATTTTAACTACCAAGCAGCCTCTCTCTTTCTCTCTTGCGTAGATCGATGCTCATGATGTCAATCACTGGATTGTCTTTTCTAGACTCGATTATTTACAGACCGCCATCATATAGCTGGATTATTGTTGAATGCGGCGTAAAACAACAAACATACGAAGACACAGGTTTGGCGCTGACAGTCCAAGCATCGTAATCGGGGCGAACCTCGGATCCGAACCCAGACATCGCATTCTGTACGCATTCAGGGCGACTTTGGCCAGTGTACAACCCATTCATCTACTCCAACGGCGCAGGCGAGACTGTTTCGTTATCTTAACCCTTGAGACGTGAACAGCTTTTAATCTGGATATTATGTACACTAGGGATACTTTGTCCTGAACCCCACACCCCTTCACCCCCTTATTCTAGAAGCTGCAAGTCATTTAGAGCGCCAGACGCTATCAACGTAAATATTCATATACTAAGGTACTGTAGGTTAACATCAAATGTGGTCGCATGTGTGTTTTCTAGGAGGGGTATGCGTGTATGTCGTGATGTACAGTGACGATGCAGATTGGTGCAGCTTGTGATCTCTATACGTGCATCATGCATTACCATGTATGGAAAATATAAGAATCACTGTAGAACTACACACAGTCAGGCATCTCTATATGTGACAACATATTGTTGACTGCCATGCACTCTTAGTTAATATATCAAATATGAAGCATAAAGTGAGAACTACACACTGTAAGCACTCAACCATGCGCTGAGTGCAATCACAGACAACACATATTATATAGATAGTACCAATGCAGTCAAGAGTTCATACAAGAAATCATGCAGTCATACAAGAAATCGTGCAGCATACAGACAACCACGCAGTCGTACAAGAAATCATGCAGTCATACAAGAAATCGTGCAGCATACAAACAACCACGCAGTCGTACAAGAAATCATGCAGTCATACAAGAAATCGTGCAGCATACAGACAACCATGCAGTCATACAAGAAATCGTGCAGTCGTACAGACAACCATATGCATGCAGTCGTACAGACAACCATGCAGTCGTATAGACAACCATGCAGTCTTACAATAAATCCTGCAGTCGTACAAGAAATTGTGCAATCGTACGTGAAACCATGCAGTCGTACAGACAACCATGCAGTCGTACAGACAACCATGTAGTCGTACAGACAACCATGCAGTCTTACAAGAAATCCTGCAGTCGTACAAGAAATTTTGCAATCGTACATGAAATCATGCAGTCATACAAGACATCATACAGGAAATAATGCAGTCGTACAGACAACCACGCAGCCATACAAGAAATCATGCAGTCATACAAGAAATTGTGCAATCGTACATGAAATCATGCAGTCTTACAAGACATCATGCAGTTATACAATAAATCATGCAGTCGTACAGACAACCACGCAGTCTTACAAGAAATCTAGCAGTCATACAAGAAATTGTGCAATCGTACATGAAATCATGCAGTCACACAAGACATCATGCAGTCATACAGGAAATCATGCAGTCGTACAGACCACCACGCAGCCATACAAGAAATCATGCAGTCATACAAGAAATTGTGCAATCGTACATGAAATCATGCAGTCATACAAGACATCATGCAGTCATACAGGAAATAATGCAGTCGTACAGACAACCATGCAGTCTTACAGGAAATCCTGCAGTCGTACAGACAACCACGCAGTCTTACAAGAAATCCTGCAGTCGTACAGACAACCACGCAGTCTTACAAGAAATCATGCAGTCGTACAGACAACCACGCAGTCTTACAAGAAATCTAGCAGTCATACAAGAAATTCTGCAATCGTACATGAAATCATGCAGTCATACAAGACATCATGCAGTCATACAGGAAATAATGCAGTCGTACAGACAACCACGCAGCCATACAAGAAATCATGCAGTCATACAAGAAATTGTGCAATCGAAAATGAAATCATGCAGTCATACAAGACATCATGCAGTCATACAGGAAATTATGCAGTCGTACAGACAACCACGCAGTCATACAATAAACCATGCAGTCGTACAGACAACAATGCAGTCTTATAAGAAATCATGCAGTCTTACAGACAACCATGCAGTCATACAGGAAATCGTACAGTCGTACAGACAAGCATGCATCACAAAGACACCATGTAGGCATACAGACAACCATGCGTCACATACACCATGTAGGCATACAGACAACCATGCGTCACACAGGCACCATGTAGGCATACAGACAACCATGCGTCACACAGACACCATGTAGGCATACAGACAACCATGCGTCACACAGACACCATGTAGGCATACAGACAACCATGCGTCACACAGACACCATGTAGGCACACAGAGAACCATGCGTCACACAGACACCATGTAGGCATACAGAGAATCGTGCGTCACACAGACACCATGTAGGCACACAGAGAACCATGCGTCACACAGACACCATGTAGGCATACAGAGAACCATGCGTCACACCGACACCATGTAGGCATACAGACACAATTCGTCACACAGACACCATGTAGGCATACAGACACAATGCGTCACACAGACACCATGTAGTCACACAGACACCATGTAGGCATACAGACACCATGCGTCACATACACCATGTAGGCATACAGAAAACCATGCGTCACACAGACACCATGTAGGCATACAGAGAACCATGCGTCACACCGACACCATGTAGGCATACAGACACAATGCGTCACACAGACACCATGTAGGCATACAGACACAATGCGTCACACAGACACCATGTAGTCACACAGACACCATGTAGGCATACAGACACCATGCGTCACATACACCATGTAGGCATACAGAAAGCCATGCGTCACACAGACAACATGTAGGCATACAGACAACCATGCGCCACACACACCATGTAGGCATACAGACAACCAAGCGTCACACATACACCATGTAGGCATACAGACACCATGCGTCACACAGACACCATGTAGGCATACAGAAACCATTCAGTCATACAGAAACTATGCTTGCCGTAACAGGCGACTATGCTTATCGTAAGAGGTGGCTAACGGGAACGGGTGGTCAGGCTCGCTGACTTGGTTCATGCATGTCATCGTATCCCGATTGCGTGGATCGATGCTCTTGATTTCAATCACTGGATTGTCTGGTGCAGACTCGAATATATACATACAGCCGTCATATAGCTGGAATATTGCTGAGTGCGGCGCTAAACAACAAACCAACCAACAACCAACATACAGAAACCTTTCACTCATACAGGAAAGCGTGCTGAAGGCATGCAGGACACCATGCAGTCACACGGATAACCATGCAGTCAAACGGACAAGCATTCATTTATATCATGCAGGAATACAAGCAGTCATAAAATCAATAATCTGCCGCCAAGTACAAATGCCCTGTTTTCGGAATTCACTGTGTCCAGGTCAAAGCGACTTATGACAAGTATAAGTCTGTCCAGCTGTACAATAGAATACCCCTTCAGTGTTGTCATCACAGAGCTCTTCAGTCGACCTGTCCGGGGTTAGAGCACACGACGCATACCTTCTGAGTTGGG